CTAATTCTTGCTCCAATCGACAGATATCAATTGGCGTAGTTGCTACTGGAGGAATGCTCGTAGAGCAACTGGTAACTATAAATAAGGGATAATTAGATCAATTATTGCAAACATAATTCAGCGACTCATACCATAACTACGTTAATTCAATTTAAATGAAGAAAAAAAAAATACTCTATTAGAGAATCCTTAATCGTTATAACTTAATTCTATGTTTATTATATTATTATTCGTACTTGTAGGAGTACTTAATTTTTTTCTTTTTTTTTTAATAGCAGCAATACAGTTTATATATAATGTCAATTTATTTGATATTACACAATTTTTTGGGGTGTGTACCTCGACAACGAGAACATAAATGAAGAAAACGACAATTCGGTTGAACACATTTTCCGAAACCGGCTCCATTATAAAATTTACAAGTAGGACCAGAATCTTGCTTAATATCATCACTACCTAAAGCTTGATGAAAAGAAACTTTCGATGATGTTGAAAATGGAAAATAATCGTGATTTTCCGATAACATTTTCCCAATTAAATCATCCCGATTGAGTATTTTTTTACAAAAAGATGTGGAATGGTCTGGACTTCGGCATAATTCACAAACAATTGGTCGTAATCCAGAGAAGACATTAAAATAAATATCGTGGTCTCGTTTGGACCAATCAATCAAAATGTTACGTGTTTGCAAGAGAGTTTCAGCTTTTTGAGCAAATAAACGGTGGTAACGATAGAAAAAAGGATGGCCGAAGCGAGAAGAAAAAAGAATTATATCACACAAATAAGCTGTTAATTCACGACGTCGTTGAGGAAAAACTTCACAGATGATATTTAAATAACGTGTAATAGCTAATATAAATTCAAGAATAGTAAGGTTTTTATCTAAACGAGGATCATCCTTTTGTTTAAGATAAACATTTTTGTCTTCATCATCATCATCATTACGACTATATTTTTTGTTGTCTCGAGGAAGAAGAAGACGAACTAAATTAACATTATAACCTTTAATAATAGCTTTTCTTAAACCTTTCGGAACAGTTTCAAGATCACTGT